TTTCCATACCTAGTAGTATTGATAGTAATGTGTTTAAATATTTTCATACCTAGTAGTATTGATAGTAATGAAATACTTAAAAAGTAAGTAAATAATTGAAATAATAATAACAAATATAACATCTCTACAGTGAAAAGGTTTTGTAAAAACAAAACATGGTATAGAAGTTGAATTATCAAGTGAAAAAGTACATAAATATAATTAATATTCAGATTAAAATGAAATGAAATTCCCATCTGCATTGTTGTTTTCACTTATCGTAAATTAGTCATTAAGTCGCACAGAATTTGTTTATGTTAACAGAAGCAAAATTATGTAGGATTGGAAGAAAAAAATTTAACTAATTTCCACAAATCTTACAAACAGTCACTAGAGTGTGAGTCCTCTTTCTTTTTAAGAGATAAGAAACAGGAAAAATGTTTTTAACAAGATTCTTATTTATCATGTGAGCTTAACACAAGCTGAGTATGGAAATGTTTTAAACAATATCAGAAGTTGTTAAAATATCAAAATACATTTATATTATTAGGACACCGAAGAAACATGGATGATTAGTTTAACTGTTGTTTAAAGATTTCTAGTGAACATTATTTTAGTACTTGACTTTTTTGACTGTACAGCAAGCTTGTTCATAAATTAGAGTAGTGTGACTGTTGTTTATCCACTGGTTTTAGTTATGAAACAATTTTGCAAACTTGTAGTTAAATCCAGAACATTATTTTAAGGTCCACATTTGAGCCCAAAAGTCTTAAATAACACTAAAAAGCCCCCCAGTGGCACAGCAGTATATCTGCTGACTTATAACACTAGAATCCGGGTTTCGATACCTGTGGTGGGCAGAGCAAAGATAACCCATTGTGTAGCTTTGTGCTTAATTACAAACAAACACAAAAAACAGTTGATGAAAATGAAATATGGATTATGCTTTGTTACGTGTTATTAAAGATGTATTTTTTCTTATTGGATCCACTCAGACTTGATATTTGTAACATGGTTAGAGTTGAACTACACTCTAGTTTTAATTGCAAGGTTTCTGTTCATATTTTTGGTGGAGTTCTCTCTAGTTGTAGAAGACAGATTATTCTTAGCCTGTAGGAACATATTTTTATGAAAACAATAACAATATCAATAAGTAACATTTGCTATGTTTATTGCATGTCAGTATTTTAACATGTCATGATCAAATTGTTTTTGTATGAGTTTACTAGTAAAATTGATATATATATTTTTTGAAAATTTTAGATAAAAAGGAAATGTTTTAAAATATTGAAAACTTCTTTGTTTAATTTAACATCTTTCTGAAATATGTATACCACGATGCTTATATTTTAGAAATTGGTGGACACATTAGCTCCCATTTGTTGAAGCTTTTTTGATTGTTATAGTTTAAAGTTGTTTTCTTATTTTTATTAAACTCAAAGTGTAATTAATAAAAGAAAAAACTATTTTCCCATATGTTAGTCAGAGTTATCCTAATTAAATCATCTCAAACTTTATTACTTGGTTTATAACAAAGGTATATGAATTTCTGTATAAAACAAAAACAGTTCTTCTGTAAAAAAATTTTTTTTTTACTGATATATGTAGAATATTTGATTTATATAAACCTAATTTTCAGCTAAAGATTTCTAAACTCCTTATTCTTCTTTAAATGTCAGAATGTTAGTGATGAACTAGTGAAAGAACTTGAAGATCTTGAAGGTGGTGTGACCTCTTCTGTGACCCAATCATCAGAAACTGGACAAATAATCAAAAGTGATTCATATTTAAACTGTTTAAAATCTTTCCGTCAAGTCTGTTTGGTCCTGTGGGTTTTTCATTCTCGTGATAAGTTTTCTTTCTTTTATCGAAAACTTCAAGCAGAATTATTATCAGTTCCACCATTGCAAAGCTCAGTAAGTATTTTTTAACTTTTTTTATGGGATCAAAATATATGTTTTATTAGATTACAGGAAATAAAAAGTAAAAGGTTGAGTGTAAGTAAGTAAGAGTTTATTGTGATTAGTGTTTTATTTTGATTTAAATAGCATCATATTTGAACTTGTACCAGCACTGTTTGTGAAGTCACAAAATGGAAGAAACAGGTATTGTACATAATTGTAATCTTCTTGTAAAAGCTGATTGTTTCACTTGTTTCCTCTCAGTGGCTCAGTGGTAAGTCCAAAGACATATAACACAAAAACCTCATCACTGGGTCAGCACAAATAGGCCATTGTGTAACATGAAAGAAACAAACAAATCATTTCATGTCTATATCACATACACGGAGAAGTATATATATATATATATACAACTTGGTCTGTGTAAAATAAAATCCTGTGCATCCAGCATTAGTATATCTAATCTGAGATGTCTTGGTATGAACTGTTGGTGTATCTGGGATAATCTAGAGGTTTCTGTTATTTTGATTTGATATTAACCTTAAACCTGTTGGTCTAAAAATTTAAACTTGTGCTTTTAAGTTTTTATTAACTAATGAGTTCTTCAACTAAAACATCAGTGGATTCATTGTGGAATTATTATTTTTCTTTTACCAAGATGATTTTTTCTTATCGTTTTATCTAGAAGGTAAATTAGTTTCAAAATAACAACTATAGAAGAAAACAAACAATTCCATGTGTTTTTAAATAAAAGTGGTAACCACTGTTAATAACGTTTCGTTATTGTTTAGTGAAATTGTAAAAGATCTGAGAAGAATTGTATTTTATGACAGATTTTAACTTATTTTTGTGGAGTTGAAAATGAAAATTATTCTTTTAAGTTTATAAACATTTGTTAATAGTTAATTAAATTGTTCTGTAAAGATATTTTCATCAACTGAAAAGTGTGATTAAAATTTTCTTACTCATTAGTCTGTAAATTGTGACATATACGGTGCTTGAAATATGGGAAGAGAGGAAGCAGGATGGTTTGGGAAATTTTTGAAGCTGAGTAGTATATTTATTTATTATTATAGAAGTAACTAAAATGTAAAAATTAGAAACTTATTAGGTAAGATAATGAAAAATGATAATTGTGATAAAAATTCATCATGAGGTATACTTGTGAGCAGCTCATGTGTTACATAATTAGATATGGTAGTGTAAGTTGCACATTTGCCAAGTGATTTAGGTCTTGTGTGATGGGATTATTGGTTAGACACAGTTCAAAGGGCAATAAAACAATAAAATTAAGTATATATAGACATACAAGTTAAAGCCCATAGCCAGAGAGCTCATTTGTCCAATCTGTGTACTAAATTGTCTCATTCCTATTCCACTCTTACACAACATTTTAAGGAAAAAATATAGTTTCTCTCCCCAGTCTCTTGCTGCAGTAAATAATTATTGCATCATCTATTGAACCCTTTCCTTCTGAGAAGCTTACAGTCTACTAAAAGGTAGCAGGATGGTTTCAGGTTCTCCTAAGGAAGTGGAATGGCATCCCACCTCATCCTGCCCAATTTAAAGCACTGGATATATAGATATAGATAGATAGACATGGTGAATATTAAATTATTTCCATGATACATTTCAAGTATTGAATCTTCAGTTAAAAAAATCATCACCAATAGTTTTACCTTTCTTATTTTTGATTTCAGACTATGCCTTCTCACTCAGAGCTTTACTACAAAGCACTAGAGTGGGCTACCAATCTGAAACCACACTGTCATCTTTTAGCCTCTGGTGAAGATGATTTGAATAATCTGGCTGTAAGCATTGCAATGGAAGCTCCTCAGTCGTTTGACATTTTAGTTCTTTTGGCTCGATTTCTGAGTTTCTCCGAAGATATTAATGTTAGAATCTGGAAGAGACTATCATTGCTTTTAGAGAAGTGGAGTTGCATGTCAGCTAAAAAGAAAGAAGCACAATCGATGAATGTTAAAGAGATGAGCCTACCTAGCACTGAAAGTAATTCTTCTGAATTATTCAGTTATAGCACTAAAAATGGTGAATACAGCTCTCCTTCAAAAAATGGCAGTATTCTGAAAAGTGGAAAAACTAAATTTTCAAAAACATTTTTTGAAAAACTTCTTGCTGCAGAGAAAAGAAACTTAGTTAAAAAACTTGATATTGTTGCAGATGTCAGAAATTCCAAAAAGACTATTAGATCAGATTCAAAGAGCTGTCTGTCTGAGATTCATATACAGAATGAAACAGAATTTATAGAGTTTCTTATATTGTTCTTAGATGTATCACACAAAAAATATAAAGAAGAAAATAGTTGTGTTGACAATTCTCCTCCATTTATTCCAGAGTTTGCTGATAAGTGGAAAGAAAAATTAATGGTTTTTTCAAATTTTGACCAGCTGAGCTTGAGCAGCACAGGTATCCTGACTCCTTCATCTTTGAAATCATCCATTACTTCGAAAAGGCCCCCTTATTTTGTAATCAATAGGCTAAGTACAGCTATTAATAGTAAATACAGGGAATCAGTTTTATTTAAGAAAAGAAAAATTTGCACAGAGCATGTTCCACTAAAAAAAGAGAAGAAATCAGAAAAAGCTAAAAAAACACTTTTTCCATATTTCAGCAAATCTCAAAACTCTTTGTTTCAGGAAAGGTGGAAAAATATGAACCCCTATTCATCAAAAGATGAATTTAACTTTCTTTTCCATCGGTGTCAAAGCTACAGAGAACTGGCTTGGAATAGTGAATCTCAGTATCGTGATTCAAACCTTGTATTGTATCGAATAGAATCAGTAAGTCCAGAATTGTTTATGACTCTTTTTCATGAGGAAAATGGAGAAAGTGTAGCAAAGCTGATTATGTGGATAACTCATTGGAGTAGTAGATTTCCTGTTGTATCTACCAAAACACACACCCCCAGAAAATCTGATCTTCCTCAGATTAAAGTCAAAGTTTCAGCTCCCCATCTCCTTTCAGTTCTGTTACACTTAAAAAACAAAATGCTTCATCATCGGAATCAAACCCAAAAACCCATGAGTGACATCTCTCCATTACACACAAACAGCCCCTCCCAAAATGTCAATTCTTCTAATGTCTCCAGTCCCAATAAAGTAAGATGGTCTGCTGATGTTAGTAAATCTGAGGAAAATGATAAACAGCATTTGGAAACGGAAGCGGGTAACACTGCCACTACATCACATTTAGGAAAACTAAACTCAGAAGTACTAGAAGTCAGCAAAACAATAGAGATGGATGAATCCAGGACCAACTGTAATATAAAATCATTCAGGTCTGTTCCTTCCATTTGCAGTCAAATAGACTGTTCAGTCAGGTCACAAAAGCAAGTGGATGAAACATCGAGAAACAGAAAAGACCATAAAATGGAAGAAAGGTTGGTTTTTGTTATTTTATATTTTTTTCTTGCTTGAAAGTGATTGATATCTAACTTAAGTGGCAACTGAGCTTATTGATATATTTCTATAAAGTCAGATTTATGAAAAGCAGCAATCTGCTGTACTCTGAAAAAAATAATTTACTTTGAACAATAAATTTAAAGCTGTAAAAAACACAACTATTGTAATTGTTTGTATTAGTTTTTAAAAGTACCTTAATTGTTTGGTAAATGAACTAAGTCAAAGTTATTATACATATACTGTTATTAAAAAAATTCAATAACTTTTGAGTTATGTCATCTGTGATTATACTTTGCCAATTGATATTGTATAAATAAACTATGCAAAATAGCAGTAAACTGACTTAATGGCTTTGTCTTGGATAGGTTATTTATATTTTTGTACAAGTTATAAGAACATTACAAATGGCAAGTGATTCTTACATTACAAGTGGTAAGTGATTGGTACAAGTGGCAAATGATTGTTACATTACAAGTGGCAAATGATTGTTACATTTCAAGTGGCAAATGATTGTTACATTTCAAGTGGCAAGTGATTCTTACATTTCAAGTGGCAAGTGATTGTTACAAGTGGCAAATGATTGTTACATTTCAAGTGGCAAGTGATTCTTACATTACAAGTGGTAAGTGATTGGTACAAGTGGCAAATGATTGTTACATTTCAAGTGGCAAGTGATTGTTACATTTCAAGTGGCAAGTGATTGTTACATTTCAAGTGGCAAATGATTGTTACATTTCAAGTGGCAAATGATTGTTACATTTCAAGTGGCAAGTGATTGTTACATTACAAGTGGCAAATGATTGTTACATTTCAAGTGGCAAATGATTGTTACATTTCAAGTGGCAAGTGATTGTTACATTATGAGAGGCAAGTGATTGTTACATTATGAGAGGCAAGTGATTGGTACATTACGAGTGGCAAGTGATTGTTACATTACGAGAGGCAAGTGATTGGTACATTACGAGTGGCAAGTGATTGGTACATTACGAGTGGCAAGTGATTGGTACATTACAAGTGGTTAGTGATTGTTACATTATATGCTTGATATGTACAAGTTAATCGCTAAAGGAATAAATAGATACACTCAATCAAAGTATATTATTACTGGTTTTCAAACTTGTTTGTTCTATTACATGATAAAAATGGAATTAAAATAATTTTAAAACTTTACATCACATTCCTTTATTAACAATTAACATCAAATTTGGAATATGCTGTGTTTATGATTAAAAGTATTGTGTAAAAATCGAAATCTTCACTGAATACATTATTATAAAAAATAAGATATAGTAATATTATATATTAATTATCTTCTTCTAGCTAGAATAAATTCCAATATGGTACATTACCTCTACTCATATGTATAGCTATTCTTGTTCACTGCTTCCCTCTATATGCAAAAATTTGTTTGCATGCCACAAGCCTTGAACTCTCACGTACCCCATGATCAATGTGCTTCAATCGCTTCTTGCATGTATATCATCATGCAACAACCTCCCACCAGTAGGAGTACAACACACTCTCCTGACCCATGTGGCTGCCTCTATTTGATTCTACTGAACTATCACTTCTCCTTAGGCAGTGATCGAGTGCAGATGTTTTTCTCTTTTCACACGTTCATTTAATTTTTTTTGCAAAGTAGTGATTTACTTGATTTATTCATTTGTTACACTTAGTTTTCTCTCTATTAGTTTGGCATGATAACTTACCATTATTCATTGATTTTTTTCCTCATTTTCGACCTCTTCACAGTTTAAGATGAACACTGTAGTTTGTGTTTTACAACTTCTGATATTATTACTTTGAGTGCCATTACTGGCTTCAGGTCTGAGGGTTTTGACTGAGGATTTTTGGCTGTCATTCATCAGGAGATGGATCGCTAAATGAGGCATTCTTTTCCTCCTGACATTGTTCAGGTTCCTCCTGCATTGTTCGAACCTACTCATGACAAGAAGGATTTAGACAGCCTTTTTATCCTCCTTCTAACTATGTCATGCCTTCCTATGCATCTCCTACAAAATCTACTAGGCCTAACTCTGTCTTTTTGGATATGCTTTCTCAGGTGTGTTCCATTTTCATATGATACTGTTTCTTACTTTTTATGTTGCACTCATCATTAAAATCCCTTGTTTTTCCCTCCTTCTCCTGACATTAGGGTTCATGCTGAACATTTTGTTTCTCAGTTTAGGGATGGCATTAGCATGCTTTGTCCTACATGGACTTCTGATCATTATGATTTGACTTTTCAGGAAGGTGATCAATCCTTTCTCAAGTCCCAGCAGTTGGAGTCATTTTTTTGCCAATGTGGGGGGCTGTCCCTGACAATTCTATCCATTTTTCACACATCCTTTTCCCACATTTGTCTTACCTTTACTGTTCTCCTACAGTAATTGTCCAACATACATCTCCTTTCTAAGGCACTCCACTGATCCCCTGAGAGGTTTTGGGGGGATGCACTTTCCCTCGTTACTCCTCCTTGGCACTGTTGTCATCTTTGGCCTTGTCCCTTCACATTGGTTTCATTGCTATTGGGATCTTATTGGGAAGAATGCTGTCTTTTCGCAGGTTCATCTACCTTCCCTTTATTTTTGTGACTTTTGGATGGCTCCTTTTCTCCATCAGTTTGTTTTTGGAGTTTTTCTGTTGTGAACTCTGTGAGTCCACATTAAACCCTTTAGTCTTTGGTTATTTGTTTGTCTCATTCTGATACCATGACCTTTCACGTAACTCTTTCTCATCCTGCAACCTCCTGTCCTTTACCAGTTCCTACAACTAGGGGTTCAAAATTTTGTTGTGTCAGAGTCATACCAAAGTTTGAAGAATAGTAACAGGTAGAAGGCGGTACCTCGAAGAGGAAGAAACAGCTATCCAATGAAGATAGTGGGAGATGAATGTATGTGGTGTAGGCCACTTGTCTGACTAAAGAGTTTCCTCCGATGAATGATGGAGGTGAGACTCCAGGAAAAAGGGAAGATGTCCGATCTTATGTGAAGATACCTGGAACAGAATTTGGGAGAAAGAGACAGGGAGGAATAAACCAATTGAAACAGTTGACAATCCCAAATCGTAAGGTTAGAAGGAGAAAGGTCATGTACAGATGAACAGTGCCAGAGAATGAAAAGATTGAAATGGAAACCATTAATAGAAGTCATGCAAACAATGGAACAATGAAGAGCACATACTGGACATAGAAGTCCATCTGGAGCAGACCAGGAATAAAGGTGGGAAATGAATTGCAAAAAAAATGGCAAGAAGGAAGAAGAACCCTCATGAACCACCAAACTTTTGAGTAAGAAAGATTGATCTGGAAGAACCATGTGATGAAGAGGTCAACTAATCTGGAAGGAACGTAAATGGAACTGGCAGGTCCAATTCTGACTGAGAAAATCCACTGCTAGGGCCTGAGGATGAGGAACCAGAGGCCAAAAAAAAAGAGGTAACTTGGTGTTGGGGTAAACTGGCCAAAGCATCCAGATTAGAAGTACCCCAGTGATTGCATAGCCACCTGAAAACCTGAGAGTCAAGAAACCACTCCGTGGGATAAATGTGGCAGGTCTTGAAAAATGATCTGCCACAAGGTGAAAAGCACTTGGAACTGGACATGCACAGAAATTTATTGGCAGTGTGAAGGCCCAATAAAGGAAGTCCAATGTCCAACCACAAAGGGAACAGGAATGGGTGCCCCCATAGTGATTAAAATAGGCCACAATGGTGAAACTGTCAAATTGTTGGTACAGTACCAGTAGAAGAAAATGAACCAAATCGTATAGTACCACCATAAGCTCCAAGATGTTGAAATGATAAGATAGACCATTGCTTGGAAGCCTCTTGCTGATGGACCAACACTCCCCAACCTTATAGAGAACCATCTGTGAATCGATACAAATCTGGACGAGGTGCACTCCTTGTTCAACCACCAATGCAGATAGTCTGTAAGGGAAGGAGAAAGGTTAATTGGGGAGTCCAAGAGATCCTGAGCAAGATTCCATATGCTGTGCAGAGTCTACTGACAAGAATGCATGTGTGCCAGACCCAAAGGAATAAGGGCATCCATAGAAGCTCAAGTCCTCAAAAGTGACAGAACCTCTTGTGTAGAAACCGAGGGAGCAGGAAATGCATGGAAAACTGAAAACACCATCAAATAGAGAAGAAGTGGAGAAGGTTGGGCCTGAATGAGGTGGTGTTGAAAAATACACCTAAGTAGATAATATAGTGAGTAGGCAAAAAGAAACTTCACCAACTTTAGGATCCAGTCAGCAGCAGATGTATGTGTTGAGAAGACTCTAGTTTGGAATGGGCTAACAGGAGCCAGTCATCCATGTAGTGGTGTAAACTCAACCCTAGAGCATGCAGCAGAAGTTGAGCAAAAGCTGAGACCACCCGATAAAAAACATACAATGCTGAAGCAAGCCCAAAAGATCAGGTGCAAAACTGATACACAACTCTGTTGTGGACAAACCTAAGATAGCATTGTGGACTGATGAGAAATAATATGGAGATGGGCATACGAGATGTCTGTCTTGGTCATCCAAGGTCCTGGAGAAAAAACCCTTTGAATGTGGTAAAGGACTCCATGTGAAAATGGGAAAGAACCAGAAATTGATTGAGGCAGTACAGATGGATCACAGGACAAAAAACCTGAAGTAAAATCCTGGAGAAAGTTGGCTGACAGGCTTGATAGCTCTATGTGATAGAAGGGTCAGCACAATTGTGTATAGACACAGACAGGTAGCTTGTTTCCAAGTTATTAGGAAGGAAATTGGTATGGGAGACAAAGTGAAGGGGAAAGGAAAAGGATGAAAAAAATATTTCTGACAAAACTTGGATCACCCAAGAATTGGTAGTGAATAAGTGAATAACTGCCACAGGGGAACAAAATTGGTCCATCTTGCCCCCACCAGACTGGAAAACACCTGATAGTCACTGGAACTGCTGGTGACGATGAATCTGACGTATGGCCAAGACTTATACCCATGGCTAAAAATGCACACTATTGAGATGGGGTATTCCACAAGATCACTCGTTGGTTTTTTGTATATATTTGCTTCATTAATATGCCCAATCTGTACCATACTAACCCATGAACTTACATGGGTAAAGTAGACGGGGATAGCTCCCCATCCCTGTTGTCCTTTGGATTGAATAAATCGGGGGTGGTCTGCTTTTCAATATAGGGTTTTTGTGGTTACTGTTCCACTGTCTCTTGTGTTGGCATTCCTCCAGACTCTCTACTGTGTTTTATCCCTCCTTGTTCTTCTAGTGGAGTATGGGAGGCCTTGCCCTTTTCTAGCTCCAAGCCACTGGGGTGGTGGACCATGGAGGTATCCTCCTGAATATAATGACTTCCATTCAGTTAAGAGTAGGGTGGACCTGGAGGTTGATGTTGCACTCCAACTTTTGTGTGGTCCTATCTGGAGGATGATGTTGCTTTGGAGTAGATCTGTCACATTGCATTTCTTCCCTTTGATTGGGACCCCTCATCCTACCATCACCTGGATGTTGGTTCCCAGTGAGTGATTTTGGATTAGAGATGGATCAATCAATATAAATCTTCACACACATGTTGGTTGTGATTCCTCATCCTAACTCCAAGTTCATAGTTTTGCCTCATATTTTTCATCTATGTGTAGCGGGTCCCAGTTTGTCTCAGATTTTTTCCCCTGCCTGAGGCTACTGTTATGCTGAGGGGTTCCAGTCAGATTGGATTTGGCTTGATGTGAACTGCCACGTTGGAACATCCCTTCATACGATCATTCAGATGTCGGGTTCCTGGATGTATGGGTGGTTGTGGATTCACACACATACCCCATTTAGTAGATTGGTTTGACATACATGGTAAACACAATACACATAATGTACACTTTCTATCACACTTCTGGACATACATGGTAAAATGTTTAACCACACGTTCATAGAAGACAAACCTTATTAACTTTTTAATAGTGATATATGATAAAACTATTGTTTTTTTATATTCTAAACTTTTTAAATGGTGTTCTATAATGTATTTTGTGTTTTAAAATGTAGGGACAGTGATAGTAGCAGCCTTGGCATTAGTTCTTTATCATCAGGAGAGGATGACTTAAGCATATTGAAAAGTCCCATGAAACATTATTACATGTCTCAAGATGATTCATCTGAAAGAATTTCTCTGCACGCTTCACAAGGACCAGTTGTAGTTCCAGCAGGACCTCTAAAATCAGTCACTAGGTTTTCATTTGGTAATTCTGAAGTTTCGAAAGAGTTGGTTATCAAACCCCAGTTATCAGATAAAACAGAAGGTGTTCAAATGAGCAGAATACAAAAAACTTTAGGTACAACTCCACATTATCTTCCAGTGGAACATGACAACAAACTGATAAAGAAAATTCCATGTCAGCAGGAAGTCATTTCTTCCAATGACATCAGTGCATTCAACCAAGCTAATAGCAACAGTGAAACTATGAATTATCCACAGGAGACAGCTCCAAAAACAAAACTAACTGAACATCGATTACTTGTTAAAGAAAAAGAAACCCAAGCAAATATTGTCAGTGAACTCCTAGAAGGTAAAAGTCGGAACTTTGTTGAGTCTCAGGCAAAAGCAACCAACCACCTACCTCCAGATAATGGAAACCAGACTATTTTAGAAACAGTTCAGGAAGTTTTCAGGAATGAAGTGAGAAGAATGGCTGAGGTATTTGGGTTTTTCTTCATTTGACAAAGATATAAAATATATATATATATACTAAAAATTTAATATATAGAAATTGTTGAGAGAATGTTATATTTATGATTTATAAAATTACTTATATCAGATGATATTTCAGAAGTTTTATACTTAGCTTTAAGCTTGAAATATTTTAAAGTACTCTCTGCTATAATTATTCAAATTTGAGGGAACCTTTAATAAATGAAAAATGCTATTTTAAAAATTGTATAATTATCAAACTTATGAATCATATCCATGCTTCTGTAAATATTTTTCATGTGGCTAATATTTTCAATCTTTTAATAAGTTTCTTTCCTCTTTTTCTTTAAATCTCTGCAATGAAGTCATAAATTGGTAAATGCTAATAACACGTCTGTTTTATTAAATGATCAATACAGATTTCAGTTATATTTTGCCGAGAGGTTTCCATCAGACTTCTTGTGTAAAGACATGTTTTTAGGGGTCATTCCTCTGCCCTGTAACAAACCTATAAAAAGACAGTATTGGAAGTTGTTCCCAATTCATGTAATGTGCCAACAAAGAGAGAGAGAATTTTGGAAAACATTCCCTTTTTCTGAAATACATCTTTATTCTTTTTCCTGTAACATGCTTGAAAAGAGAGAATTATGGAGAGCATTCCCTTTTTATGTGACACATCTATGAAGAGACTGCACTGGAGTCTTTTCCCATTTCCTGTAATGTGTATAAAGAAGCATTTTGTTTGGAGATCATGTGTCTATAAAGAGACAATATTATAAATTATTCACCTTATTTGCAGTATATAATTATTTGTTATATTTTCTAGTTCATCACCTCAAAAGCAATTAACCAGTGATGTCAAAAATTCATCTTATCATGTTGTATTTGACTTTTGACCAAACCAGAGAAACATTTAAGTTATTTATTTCGTATGTGAAACCCAATTTTTGTCAGTGCATGTGCTAATTTGCTCTTGCACCACTGGTAGTAATTCATATGTTTTACACACTAAACACAAGCCTTTACTCTTCAAGTGATTAGTGAACAATTACCAGGAGTTTATTTGACTTTTCTTTTTCTTATGAATTATTATATCAGTTTTCTCTCACTTTTTTCATAATTTATAATCTTCAGGAATAGGACCCAAATTTTTTATTAGTAGATATTTTTGAAAGTTCTGTTGCTACCTTCCCATATTTCAGATAAAGTTTGGTTAGTTATTCTTTAATGCTGAGAAATTCCCAATATGTTGAACACAAACTGTTTTCTGTTCTAAAATTTTTCAAAAAGTTTCTTCTTTTCTAACCTTTGGAATTCTTTAATGTTTCCTCATTCTCTGCTACCTACATGAGGGGTCTGGTTTTGATTATTTAGAAGCTTTATTATTCTACAATAATACAGTATATTGTCATACTTTATTTTAGTGATAATTTTTTATGTAGTAACAGTGTATATTCTAGCTTTGTAGAATTAAGTTCTGTGTTAATGTTGAAGGTTGTCAAATCTAGAATTAAACTTAGAAGCATGTTTTAGTTTCAGAAGATACTTGCCAGGAGAAGTTCTAATAAACTATTAAGTCCGAATTTTAAAAATTTTAAAGCTGGATCTGATGTGACATAACAGAAGAATATTAGCAATAAGCTTTAATAATTATTTTGTTACCTTTTTTTTCTTGGAAAGTTTGTATGGAATTAATGCTGCAGTTTTTTTTTCTTCTGTATTTAAATATTATTTTTTTTACTCAGTCAGCCTCTTCTTCCTCTAAATTCTTTACCTGGATATCTGGGGAGAGTTGTTTAACTGTAGAAAAATCATTTATGCTTACACATGTCAGGTATCAAGAGGGATATCACAGTATCTGACTTGACAAACTCTTATTGATTGTTACAAACTTTGTAGGATATTTGTTAAGGTTAGAAAGTGCATTTCTTTTTTTTTATGTTATTCTGAATTTTGTTTTTTACAGCAATTGGGACTTGGAATGGTTGCTGGTACATTAGGTGGTCTGAGTGCTCTAGTTGTCCAGTCATGGACATCAGCTGGACAAATACCCCATTCTTTGGCTTCTGTTCAGACTCAATCTTGTCAATCTACAAATTCAACAGCACATATTCCCACTAGAGAAACTAGTGGACTTACAAACTCCACTTCACAACAAGCAGTATTAGAGGATTCTCAAAAGGAATTCAAGCTACTTATGCCAGATGAGACAGTGGGAAAGACTGAACTAAGTGATAGGCAGCAGACAAAACACTGGGCTTCCAGAAAAGAAAAAAGTAATCAAGATGCTAAAAGTAAAAAAAAAACTGCTCTTGAAAATAGAAATGAGAGATTCAGAGAAAAAAAATTAGAAGAATTGCCAAGTGAAGAAGAGTCAGATACAGATAAATTTAGTGGAAAGAAAAATAAAGCGTACAAAGAAAAGTTTTTAGGAAATTATTCATCATTTAAAAGAAATTATCCAAATAAATCAGAGAGTACCACTAATAATATTATACCTTTTCAGCTTCTCCAAGTTGAAAATATTACCTCTCAAAAAAAGTTGTCCAATAAGTATGCCAAAAAGATGGGTCCTTTTAGTCTGAGAAAGCCAAATATTGAGACTGTTTCTCAACCTCCCTTTCCACTTTTGAGGTTTCCAGTGGATAAGGAACCAAAATTAATACCCCCTTTGTGGAACTCTCAAACTAAAGATCTTGTATCTCAGTTGAAGTTCAAAGACAGTTCTTCACCTCTTCAAAATATTCCAAGCCATCATGAAAATATAACTAAACTTGTTAATAGAAATTCTTTTAGTAACCAGCATCATTATTTATTTTTAAGTAATTTTAAGTCAAAAGTGAAAAAATCACAATTAATAGGAATCCCACTTTTGAGGTGTGAGCCTGTAATCCAGGATGTACCAGCTCAAACATTAAAACAGGACCTCAGCTCTAAAGTCCCTTCAGAAATAGTGAAAAAATTCTTGATGAAGGAAGATATGGTAAAACCACAGAACAAGAACTTAATTGAAAACAAAGTAATGACAGAAGCACAGCATGAACTACAAAATTTACAAGCTGATTTTGAGAACAAACATATGGGGTGGCAAAATAATGAAGAAAAAAGGTATGTTCTACCCAATAGTTTTACATCTTTACTGATTGATCGTGTTTGTTGATGAAGCAAAATCCTAAATTTTAATGCATATATTCAGTGATTGAATTTTCTTTTTAAACTATAATTCTGAAGATGTTGCAAAAAGTTGTATGTATTTTCAAAACATTTTAATATTTTTGTGATGTTTCAAAATATTTTTAAGCTTTAAAAAGTTATGAACATCTGATAACATACTAGCTATTTTAAAAACTGGTTACTAGAACAAATGTATGTTGTAAGAATAGTCATCGCTAATAGACTACAAATTATTTTGAGTTTTTATTATTATTTTTCATTAGACAGAAAAGACGAGAACATAAACTCCAGAAAGAGGGAGATTTGATTGACTTAAAACAAACTGCTTTAGAAAATTCTTTTTGGCACAAGAATAAAAAGGTATTTATAGATTTAAATTATGTGACAAAATATAGTATCTACCAAGTACTTATTGATTTTGCATAAACACAAAATCTTAGAAGTATTTGGAGAACATTGTTGAAATATAAAGTCTTATTAGAATTACAAAGCATATTATTTATGATATATCACAATTATAAAAAACATTTATCCTGCATTCAAACAACAAAAAAAGAAAAATAGTTTAGTGGAAATGTTTTGGTTATTGTTACAAATTATATCAAATTCTTAAAAAGTAGAAGATTATGAAGCAAGTTTCAAAATGTAAATGGTATTTAATATAACAAAATATTGAAATAACAGTATATAAAAAAAGATAATATCAGATGTAGTAGTTCCTAGACAATGTGTTTCACTTCCCTACATAGAAGAGCTATATACCTCACATGTCTACCTAAGAGATTTGCATGGCACTAGTCCACATGAATCCACATGTTTAATGTGAAATGTATTGGTGCATGATGACATCATCATGCAACAGTAGTTCTCCACTAATAGGAGGGCTACACAACCTCCATGTGCAGTAACTCTCCCCTAAGCACTTGCACTCAAGATAACTTCATTATTTTCCTCGGCATTACATTGAATGGATGTGTTAAATTTTCTCATATACATTCAGTTTACTGAGATTTGCCATCATAAACAAAACTTTAGTTTCATTTTCCATTAACTTTTGTTTCAAAAGCATTGAATTATTCATGAACTCTTAAGTGATGATGCTTTCTACTTTGTCTTGTGAAGGTGACGATCTTGCAAAAACAGGATTTGTTTTTACTGTGGCTTCTGGAGGCTCTCAAACTTTTGAGGACATTATAGCCATTGTGCAGCATGTTTTGGGATCCCTCGTGCATATTGGGTCTCCTCCTTCCGTCCCTTTGGTTGACGTCCTTTCCTCTTAGTTTGAGAATTGCCAGGAAGAACATAAATTTGATTAACTGTTCCCTCCACCCAATTTTGCTTTTTGGGTACAGCCTTACTAGTCAAAGACAATCCTCAACCTTCCACTTGCTTTCAGGATATGATTTCTCAAGTATGTTCCTCTCTTTCTTTTTTTACCATGTCTTATGACTTTTCTCATTCTTTGCTCCATGAAACTAATACTCAAGATTATTTAGTATTTGCTCCCTCACCTGATATTAGGCCTCATGCTGATTTGTTTCTTGAATAACTTCACACCCTTACCCACATGCCACGTTTCCCTAGACTTCTTGATTCTTTTTTCCTGGCTTATAGCCATTCTTCCTTTCCTTTTCTAAGTTCCCAGTCTTTGGAATCTGTTTTGCCTGCTTGGGGAGTGGACTTCTTGGCTTCTGTTTCTAATTCTTGCAGCTTTGTTTTTTTTTTCACTTTCATCCTATGTTACCTCTCCTACCCCAATTGGAATGGATTCCTGTACATGGTGAGGGGACCTCCCAGGGAAGGTTCTGTATTTTCTCCTCTGGGATCTAAACATCCACCCACATGTTTGCTGTGCGTGGTGACCCATGAAGGGGAGGAGAGGATCCATTGGCCTTGAATTCCTGTAGACAGGTGTTTTTCGCTGGTCAATCGCTGGTCCCATCGGACTAGTGTCAACTGAGTACCAGTGTTGGGCATTCTACGGGTGTTGTGGACATCGTATCTGATGCTGGTATTTGGGTATAGTGCATCCACTTATAGGACTCCATAGTGGGTGGGGTCGGTGGGCTCTGAATCTCTCTCTCTTTTTATTATGGATCCCCCAAATAAAAAATAATTAAATAATTGAAAAAACTGCTCATTGGTAAACGACCACATCTTAAAGACTCTGAACAGCAGTCTCCACCACAATATGCACCTGTACCTCGCTTCCTGATCCTGCATTCCCTGTCGGATAAATCTTGAGGGCAAATGTCCCCCTTTTTATACAGAAGGGATTAGAGGGGCTTGCTGGCTCTCCAAAATCAGTTAAGAAACTTCGTTCTGGAAATATCTTGGTGGAAATATCCACAGCTAAGCACTGTGAACTCCTCTTGAATTCAAATGTCATTGGGGATATACCCATTAAGGTTACTCCCTATGCTTCTTTGAATTCCTCAAGAGGAGTTATTGTTGAGAAGAACTTGAAGACTATCCCTGAGTCAGAGATCCTTGCTGGTTTCAGCAGTTCGAAGGATCTCCACTCGTCAAGATGGTGTTATGGTGCCGACCACTGTTCTCATTTTGATGTTTTCATCACCACATCCACCTGCCACTGTTAAGGCGGGTTATTTGAATTGTAAGGTATGGCCATATATTCCCAACCCTATCCAATGTTTCCAGTGCCAGCGGTTCGGTCATTCAAAGACTCTTTGTGGTTCTGTGACGTGTGCTTGTTGTGGTGGCAAGTACCACGATGCCTTTGAGTGCAAACTGGACCCTCACTATGTTAATTGTAGTGGTTCCCACTCCTCTTACTTTAGGTCTTGCCCTAAGTGGGTGGAGGAGAAAGAGGTACAGCGTTTGAAGACTGTTAACAACATTTCTTACCCCGAGGCTTTTGTCTTTTTATGGTCTTCAAGAAAACTAGGGACTGGCATCTAGTAATTGGCCTATTGTCTCTAAACCAGTTTCTGGTTATTCCATGGTTCCAGATAGATGACTTACTTTTTGTTCAGTGGTTTTTCTCAACCAGTCTGTGTATACCAAGGTCGATGTATCGGATGCCTTCCTACACATCCTGATTGTTCCATCTTCTGGATGTTTTCTATGTTTCGTCCACTGGAATCAGGTATTTCACTTGCATGATCTTCCCTTTGGCAATATGTTGGTCCCTTATATATTCAACTGAATCATAAGGGCTTTCACTCACCACCTTTACTGTCTTGGCCTGAGATTCCATTTCTACATGGATGATTCTTGGGAGGTATCCTATTCTCATACCTCCCTTCTTCTGCAGGAGGCTGCTTGATTGGGATGATTTGTCAAAATTTCAGTCCTTTTTCACACCCATGCAATATTTGGTTCATCTGGGCATTTTCTTGAACTCTTATCTCAACTAGACTTAGCCTTCATTTCTTTGTCTGTGAGCTGTGGAATGTCTTGTCACCAAAATTTGCATTTTTCATTTACATCCTGTGTAATAGGTTTTTTTGTTTTGAGGGACTCTGGCTTCCCTGAAACCACTCACATCTTTGGGGCTACATACATGTGCCTTCTTCAGTGGAATCTTTCTCATAAACCTCTCTTCTCCTTTCTCGAGAACTTGTCATGGTGGCTAGACCATTCTTTTACCAGACTGAATCTCCATTTCTTCACTGACATTTCCCTTTCAGGTTGGCCACATCCCTGAATGCCAACACTACTTTGGGCATTTGGACACAGAACAAGACTTCAATCCAAATCAATGTGCTCAAACTTCTCACTGTTTGTTGGGCATATTCTTATTTCCTCCCACTTATAGTGAACCATTTGGTCACGATCCACTCTGACAATTCGATGCAGTGAACAAATTTAATCTTTGTTTCTGATTGTCCAAGAAGACCAGAAATTTTGTCAGACAACCAAATTCTGTTTCGACAACTATGTTATTTCAGACATCAAAGCTATATGAGCATTTCAGCGTGGAACCAGAAATTCTCATAGAGAAATGTGAGAATATTATCAGTGAAGTGATAATTCCCATGTTATTTTTATATTTGTATTGAACAGTTTTGCTGGTTCAGTTTCAACTTCTGAATATACACACACAATGGTTTTCATTCCTGTGTCATGTGTTGCACACCACAAGTCTAGACTGGCACATAAACTTCCAGGAACACTCTACCTCTAGCTCTACACACTATACTACAAGACTTAATTCACAGCTTGCCTTCCAAGGTACCTGTAATAGTGTGTAGAAATCTCCCAAAAGTGTGCATGCCATGGAATAAATCTCTATATTCGTAGCACCCCTATTCAAAATGCAACATGCTGTGTAGGATAGTTCAACCAATCACAATTTACAATTGCTTCGTTAGTCAGCTGAAGTTGATGGTTCCATAGGAGTGGTGAAAAAGTTATCAGTATCTTTCAGTTAAAACGCATTGATACATATGCTGAAAAGAAATGTCTCTGGTATTGAAGTTAAACAAATACGTGGACTGTTTGAGTGTACAGAATTTTAGTTTGTTTTGACATGAAATATTTGCTAGTGTAGCAAACCTGTTTGTTTTATGGTAGCAACTAATAAAAGCCTTTCCTGATAGAAATGGATGCAACATGCATGAAAATATAAACAAGCAAAAGCTTTTTCAGATGTGAACAAACTCTTGTTCACTTTGTCAGTAAGCATAATGTATCCATGTTAGTGTATTGCTTATGATAGTAGGGAAGTTAATTCTTTGAACTCTCGGTACACAACATTCAGCAAGCTATTGCATTATTTTCACTGTATTATTTTTGAGGGTTTCCTGTAGTGATCCTGCTGCTGTATCCCACCATTTTATCTGAGCTGGCTTGTTTATGGTAATAATTCAAATTGTGAAAACGAAATTGAACATTTGTATCAATGTTTGTTTGTTTTTCACAGAATGTTGATGAGCAATTTACAGTATTTCTGAGGTGTAGGCCCAAGCTGTTTGATGAGACTTGAGTGAATATGCAATGTTGCATCAATGATGTCACAGTGAAATTGCTGGAAGACACTGCAAATATAAATGTATGAGTTGCTCCACTTATGTTCTTATCTGATATCATTGTTATGTTGCTATCTCAGCAAACACTGTTGAAATTCGGAATAGGTCTAGGTAGAAAAACTTTTAATTATGAAAGAACATCCATTTTTATGCAGGACAACCAAGGTCTGGTTAACGATTGTCCTTCAGACAGCCATTCAAATGTCTTAAATTTGTTTACTGCCATGGTTGTTTCTTATGTCAACTGTCAAGGTGGCACCTATTTTAGGATTTTTTTTCCTTCAGGCATTGGACCTCTTTTTCTGGGCTCATTCCCATCAAGTTCATCTGGTCTCTTTTTCATGTGCCTAAAGCTATGAACCTTGTGATAGACTGCCTCTCTTAGTCAGACTACATTCTGCTCAAGGAGTGGTCTCTCCATCCACAGAATTTTTTCATTAGGTTAGGCTTTTGGTTAGGCACACCCCTCATAAATGCCTTTGCCACTCCTCTCAACTTTAAGCTTCCCCTCTTCTGGTCTCTGGTTCCTCATCCTTTGGCTTTGGCTGTCAATGTTCCCAGCCAGGACTGGTCTCACCTTTTTCTGTGTGCCTGTCTCCTCTTCAACTCCTTCCATGGGTCCTCACCTTGATGTGAGACTCCTTGCCAGGTCCTACTGGTGGTGCCTCTTTGGCCAGCTCAAGCTTGCTTTCCTCTGCTTCTTCATTTAATGTCCAGATACTTCTTCCTCAACCCAATCTACTCTCTCTATTGCTACAATCTCAAACGTCTGTTTTTCATCCAGGAATATCATTCCTACATATTCGTGTGTGGGATTTATCCCGTCCATCGTTATTTAGACTAAAATCTCTGATTGTGTGGCTTTCTTTTTTAATCCTGTCGACCTTCTACTTTGTTTGTCTATCAATGTAAGTGGCTGGTTATTTGTTGTTGATCCATTCACCACTCTCTTCCTCCCAGCCATCTTACTGTGAGCCACCTTACTGCCTTTTTTACTTTCCAGTTTGACCATGATTCGTCAGTCTCTACCATTGCTGGCTATCAGGTGGTCTTATCCACTACATTTCACCTTTTCCGTTACCAAAGAGTGTTTTCTTCCCTGTACTCTACACTCTGATCCTTCATTCTTCAACATTTAATGGGGTGTCAACATGGGGTTTCAAGCTCTCATGTGTTCTGTTTGAGTGATTGGCTTCTTGTTTTTTTTTGTATACTTTCCAATTAAGAGTTATTTCCTCCTCATCATCTGATGTTGCTGTTTAGATATCTTTACTATTGGGGCTTCTTGCACTCTCTTTTACCACACTTATTTACTCCTCTGCCCAGGCTGGTCTTTCCTTCCTTATACTTCAACTTGTTAAAAGGTGACCATACATTCTCTCCTATTTTCCTTCAGTCTATCTCTCACCTCCAATTGCTCAGACTAGTATCAGCTCCTATGTTCTGTTTAATGTTACTTCGCATGCACCTCTCCCTTTCGGGGTTCCTACCGATATCTGTTTCTACCTTGAGAACCCTCTTCTTCCAAGGACCTCTCCTACCTTATTGGACGGGTCCACCAATTCCACTGGTTGCCATGTTCTTTCCTGGATGTTGATGCTTGTAGGCTATTTCACATTTCATTGCATCAGATTTGTCACTTGTCTCACTCTCTTGCTTTTCATTAATTATCTTGATCATCTGGCTTTTTCATCTTTTCTGCAGGCTTTCGATTGCCCGTTGGTCGCCATTTTTCAGTCAGTTCGCCATATTTGAAGTGAGTATGTATTTTTCTTTCTATCTAACAATATCCCACCAGGTGGCTGGAGTTGCCTCCCATAGTATGCTTATTTCCCAAAGTCTGCATTGGGCCAGGGTTAATAGAAAGTGCCCAAATCAGCTGCCCTGGTTCTGTCAATGCCCACTGTTGAGGTTCAATGTTTTACAAGACAACTTGATGTATCTTCATAGTATACTGTGCTGTTACTAAAAATGTCCTGATCCGGACTGTACTGTTCCATGGACAATCATAGAAAAAGCCAGCACCATGGAGTATTCTGCCCACTCCTTTGGTTTGCACTCCCTGGGTTTTGAAAATAGGGTTTTGTGGTCACCCGTTGCACTATCTTCTTTCTGGCAGGTGATCCAATAGAGCTCTGGGCACTTCTCCAGGTCTCCCCAACACAATCCCCCTCCCCTTCTTCAAGTGGAGCATGGGAGACCCTTGCCACGTACCAGTTCATAGCTGCTGGGGTGGTGGACTTTGAAAAACTCCTTACTGGTTGGGCTTAGCACAATATGGTTGGATGTAGAGCAGTGGTGACACTGTCTGTGAAATAAGGGTCATCCCTCAAACACCTAGCATGCACACTATATGGTCTGATTGCACCTTAACCACATTACACGTTGGCTCACTGATCACATGTGCACAGGTGCTTGGTTAGTCATGTTTGAATTACGCCTATTTTTGTGACCCTTGAGGCTTTTTTGCCTCTTCTCTCTTTACATTCTGAGTGAAGAGTGTACCCTGGTCAAGATGAGATACAGTCTCACATTGTGCCCCTATGTCAACCATGCCATCAGGTGTCCTTTGAGCACTTTCTGAAGGGAGCTCATCTATATTTAAATTTTGCACATCCCCTAGTTGCTCTGTGTGCAGCAGTGAGGTATCAGAAGTTAACATTTTCCTAATCTGAAAATGTATTTCTGATAGATGCTTGCCTTTGCACATTTTTCCACTTGACCTCCCCACTTCTGGTGCATCTTTTTTTCATGCCTGTCTAAGAATGAAGTTATCTCAAGTGCAAGTATTTGGGGGGAGTTACTGGGCATGGAGGTTGTGTCACCCTTCTATAGCTGTTCTGTGTGTGGAAGTATCTATCAGAAATAAATTTGTAAGTCAGAAAATGATGACATTTAAGTACCCACAAAACAGTTCAAATACTAAATATTTCAGTTTTAGCTTAATTTTAATTATAGTTTCTTAACTAGTGCTTGTATTGTTTCTATCTATGTAGGACAGAACTTCAATTAAAGATGATTCACTTGTTCGTGTATCCAAGAAGACAGGTCAAGAAATGAATTCTAGAAAAATAGGTAGAACATTCGAGTCAATATATGTATTTTTGATTCTGTGAACCAGAAGTATTGATATTTCATACTTACTGATTAACACTTGTTAGTTGGCATGTTACTTAATGTTTTTTTTAAGTGTATAACATTTAAAGTAAGGTAGAAGAAAAACTAAAACACTCTTTGAAAGTGGTTAAGCATTTGGATAATTTTTTGAATTTTCATAAGTAGATCAATTGCTTTGCTGAAAAATTTTGATTAAGAGAATTTCTGTCATTTTCAGAAAAAGTGGAACATTCTTTGACCAATTATGCACCAGAGACATCAACTTTCCATTCCAGTACACTTTTACAAAATAGAAACACTTTTGCAGATATTCAGTATCACGCAGTATCTGTATTGAAGAAGAAAGATATGGTACAAGCATTAAATTATTTGGAAAATATTTTTCTCATTAGATTCTATGGAGTAACATGTTCTACATTGTGAAATAACACTAAGTGAATAAAACCTGACATTTTGATTAATTATGGTTTAAACAGTTCATCCAGTTAAAGCATTGTTAGAAAGAGCTTTGTTCCAAGGTATTAAAAATGATTATGAGTCTTTTTTTTTGTAATCAAGTAGCTTTAACTAACCGAAATAATAATATAGCAGAAGCTAAAGCCAAAGAATAGATGATTGATTCTGTTTAGTTTTGATTATAGATGATTGATTCTGTTCAGTTTTGATTATAGATGATTGGTTCTGTTCAGTTTTGATAAAAGCTGATTGGTTCTGTTCAGTTTTGATAATAGATGACTGATTCTCTTCAATATTGATAACAGATGATTGGTTCTGTTCAGTTTTGATAAAAGATGATTGGTTCTGTTCAGTTTTGATAATAGATGATTGATTCTGTTCAGTTTTGATAATAGATGATTGATTCTGTTCAGTTTTGATAATAGATGACTGATTCTCTTCAATATTGATAACAGATGATTGGTTCTGTTCAGTTTTGATAATATATGATTGGTTCTGTTTAGTATTTATAATAGATTACTGATTCTATTCAGTATTGATAATAGATGACTGATTCTCTTCAGTATTGATAATATATGATTGGTTCTGTTCAGTTTTGATAATAGATGACTGATTCTCTTCAGTATTGATAACAGATGATTGGTTCTTTTCAGTTTTGATAACAGATGACTGGTTCTATTCAGTATTGATAATATATGACTGATTTTATTCAGTATTGATAATAGATGATTGGTTCTGTTCAGTATTGATAATAGATGATTGGTTCTATTCAGTATTGATAACAGATGACTTGTTCTGTTCAGTACTGATAACAGATGACTGGTTCTGTTCAGTATTGATAACAGATGACTGGTTCTCTTCAGTATTGATTATAGATGATTGGTTCTGTTGCCTATTGATTATAGATGACTGGATCTATTTGGTATTGATAATAGATGACTGGATCTATTCAGTAATAGCTTTGTTCAATATTTATAATAGATGGTTTATGTGAAGTCACAAGCTAATTAAGTAATTTCTTTCCAATAGTATCACGTATTTCTGGTTAAAGTAGGTATCTATCTATATGCTGAAATCTCCAACATCAAAGACAAATGAAAATGACACATACATTAACATAACAGTGTGAGTGTTATAGTAACATTAACATTACAGTGTGTTATAGTAACATATTAACATTACAGTGTGTTATAGTAACATATTAACATTACAATGTGAGTGTTACAGTAACATTAACATTACAGTGTGAGTATTATAGTAACATTAACATTACAGTGTGTGTGTTATAGTAACATATTAACATTAAAGTGTGAGTGTTATAGTAACATTAACTTTACAGTGTGAGTGTTATAGTAACATATTAAAATTAGAGTGTGAGTATTATAGTAACATATTAAAATTAGAGTGTGAGTGTTATAGTAACGTATTAACATTACTGTGTGAGTATTATAGTAACATATTAACATTACAGTGTGAGTGTTATAGTAACATATTAACATTACAGTGTGAGTATTTTAGTAACATATTAAAATTACAGTGTGAGTGTTATAGTAACATATTAAAATTAGAGTGTGAGTGTTATAATAACATATTAACATTACTGTGTGAGTGTTATAGTAACATATTAACATTACTGTGTGAGTATTATAGTAACATATTAATCTTACAGTGTGAGTGTTATAGTAACATATTAACATTACAGTGTGAGTATTATAGTAACATTAACATTACAGTGTGGGTGTTATACTAACATATTAACCTTACAGTGTGAGTGTTATAGTAACATTAACATTACAGTGTGAGTGTTATAGTAACATATTATCCTTACAGTGTGAGTATTATAGTAACATATTAACATTACAGTGTGAGTGTTATAGTAACATATTAACATTACAGTGTGAGTAATATAGTAACATTGACATTACAGTGTGGGTGTTATACTAACATATTAACCTTACAGTGTGAGTGTTATAGTAACATTAACATTACAGTATGAGTGTTATAGTAACATATTAACCTTACAGTGTGAGTGTTATAGTAACATATTAACATTACAGTGTGAGTATTTTAGTAACATATTAAAATTAGAGTGTGAGTGTTATAGTAACATATTAACATTACAGTGTGAGTATTTTAGTAACATATTAAAATTAGAGTGTGAGTGTTATAGTAACATATTAACATTACTGTGTGAGTATTATAGTAACATTAACATTACAGTATGAGTGTTATAGTAACATATTAACCTTACAGTGTGAGTGTTATAGTAACATATTAACATTACAGTGTGAGTATTTTAGTAACATATTAAAATTAGAGTGTGAGTGTTATAGTAACATATTTTAAGACTAACATTGACTGACTTAGGTAAAATAAATATGATCTTGTTGTTAATGTGTATTAGTTGATCAGTGATATATACTCTAAAATATTCCTGTTATTGACACTTTATATATAAATGGGATATATATTCCTTAATGGGATAATTAAAACTAGAAAATTCTATTATTGTTACAGCATTTTGCTGGATGTTCATTAGAACAATGTGAAGGTCATACCATTTGTTTTTATGAACATTTGTTGAGGTTCATATCTTTTGGTCCTGTTGTTTTAAAGAAGAGTTGGTGAGAGTCTTAAAATTTTTATCTGTTGTTTGAAACAGACATACTTGTATTTGTAATTATTTTTATAAAGTCAAGACTATATGTTCATCTGACTTGTTTCATGTTATTGTGAATATTCAAATTGTCTTTCTATTAGACTACAAAAATAGAAAATTTCTTGAAAAATGAAGCATTCAGACTTTCTTTGTAGTGGTGTAACAACATGTGAGAAGTAATTAATTAAATATGAAGCTCAAAACATAAAATTAAAATATCACCCAAAAGCTTGTCTTCAACCTACTGATATTTAAGTTTTATAGTTGACTATTATGGAGATATGTAAGATTATTTTTTCTTTTTTTCACCATCATGTGGACTTTTCAATCCAATACTTCCAATACAATCTGGAGCACTGTTTCACAAACATTTAAAGACCTTAATTTTATCTGTGTGGTGATACTCTTGATTTTACGTGGTTTGATGAAGTTCCTGTGTAATAAGTTAATAACCCTTACCAATGATAATGCTGTGGTAAAACTACTTATGTATTATATTCTTATCAAATTAACTGATTTCAATTAAATGAGCTATTTAGTTATGTTTAGGAAAATAATTTTTTATTTTCAATTTTTTAATAGATTTCAGTGTTGATTTTATACAATATATTTTTCTTATGACTATAAAGGTTAGCTTAGCATCACAGACTTCTCCAGTTGTAGTTGGATCTCTTACCAAGACACGTAAGTTATGATCTGTTAGTTTTTACGTCATTTACATCTAAATTTTTAAAGAATATTATGTTGGGATGTTATTGTTATGCATAAAAACTTCAGAATGTTGAGTGCATCCTCTGCTCAAAATATATTTACAGATTTAACAAAATGTGTTCAGGTGTAATTTTATTACCTGAATCCAAAATCCATGAGGAGTTGGGAGTTCTATTTCTGAAGATTTCCCTCTTCTAAGATATCTATTGGATTATGTCATCTTTGCTATATGTTTTCTTCTTTAAGAATGTTTTCCTTTTTCTTCATTATGTTGAACTTGAATAATCTTAGATACATGTACTTGTGTGTTTTAAGTGAGTTAGATACATGTACTTGCTTGTTTTAAGTGAGTTAGATACATGTACTTGTGTATTTTAAGTGAGTTAGATGCATGTACTTGTGTGTTTTAAATGAGTTAGATACATGTACTTGTGTGTTTTAAGTGAAGTTAGATACATGTACTTGT